AGTGTGGAAGTGTGAAGACAGGCCAAAGCGCCCTCCCCCTGTCCTGTCTGGCAAAGGCCAGATACAGACAGTGGGGCGGATAAGGACCACTGGGGTGCTTAGGAGAAGGGGGAGGGGAGGGTCCGCCTCTCATGGAGACCTGGGGATTAGAAGCAAGGTATCTCTGGCTTGTTTTGGAACTTCGGTGTTGCTCGTGCATCCCAGGAGTGACTCTGTAGTCGACTGCCTTAGTTCCTTCTCAGACTGGAGGCAGGGGATGGAAGCTTTTCTGAGCAATAGTCATCAACCGAGATCGCCCTCTGGGGCAGCTCTGTGGGCAAGGGAGGGGTGGGGATGCTATTCTTAGGGGAACTGGCTGCCTCCGTCTCTCAACTCAGTCCTCCCGTTGATTTATCTGCTGTCTATTAGACTTCTGCTTTGACACCCCCACTTTGGGTAGTGCACCCTGAAGGGATCCCCTATTTACCTTTGAAATACAAATGAAACCCCTCCATTTACATTTACTCATCACAGCTAGCCTTGGGAACCCTGCGAGAAATTAGGGTATCAAAGGCTGAATGATGTCCCTAAGGCTTGGGAACCCCCAAAACACTGCCTCTGTTCAAGAATTTGAAATTCTCTGCCATGGTGTAAAAGGGGGAAGGTTCTTCCATAGTGTCCAAGGATTTCAAATCAACTTTCTGGAATTAAATGTCTGTGTGGTGGAATCATTTATTTGCCTGACGAGTATGTATGGAGCACCTACTACGCACCAGGTGCCATGTGGGGCATTGGGGGAGACAACGAGCTCACAGTTGGGTGGGTGGGACAGACCCGAGCAGGAAACGATAGGCGCATATGCTCTGGGTGCTGCGGAAATGTCAAGGAGGGGCAGCTCTTCCAGTCTGGGATGGGGGTGGGGGGGTGGGGGGTGGAGGAGTCAGGTAAAGCCTTCTGGAAAAAGTAGAACAACTCCACCTTGTTCCTCCAACTACTTGAGGCTGGGTTGCATTTCTCAGGCATTCAAGGGGAAAAAAAAATAAGTTTTCATTTCCAAAGCTTGCTTTCAGTTTTACCAGCTCCCTTGACTTCAATAAAATAGTCCAAGAGAAGCTGCCCTCCTCCCTCAGACTACCCAGGTGTGGAAACTGATTAAATAGCAACTAGCGGCTCAATTAACCCTTACCCCCTTCATTGATGATCTCAGGGAAATCTCCTTATAACCTCCTTGCTAACCATGTCCTACAGGAGAACAGCACATTCCCCGCTATAGATTCAGCCCTTGTATTTCTTGGCCATAAATGAGATTGTTGGGTCTTGCCTCAGATGATAAATAACTGGATAATTCAGAAAAGTCCCCAGTCACTATATTTTGCCTAGAGATTCTTCGATAGCAGTGGTATTGATATACTGCCTATCACTAGTGACATGCCTGAGAGGCCCTCCTTGGCTGTCATTTAGATTAGCTCTAGTCACACTACTCCATTACCTTGTCTTTTTTTTTTTTTTTTATAACATTTACTACCAAGGGTAAATCCCTATTTGTCACTGGTTTATAAGCTATAAGAGGCGGGCCCTCCCCTCCCCCTTCTCCACTTAATATAGCACTTTTAACAGCAATGGGCACAGGGTCAGTGTTCAGTAAATATTTGTTGAATGAACTGCTACCATTTACTGAGCATTTACTACATGCTAAGATCTTTAAATCTATGATCTCACCCAATCCTCATGATCTCATACCAACCTCATGAGTTAGGTGCTGTTATTACCTCCCATTATACAGATGACAATGGTTAAGAAATATGCCCCGGGTCACTCTTATAAACAGCAGAGGTGAGCTCCAAACCCTGTGACTCCAGAGTTTGCACTCCTTACCTCTGATGGGGCTACTCTTGTGCACTTCTTGGTGACTGATTTGGAGTAAGAATATTCTCAGCAAAATCCTCTCATTTCACATGCAGTCTCGGAACTGAAGAGGATTTCTCAAGTGCTTTGAACACTCATGAAAGCTTCGTAAGACAAACAGCCAAGAAGAAACCCAGGAGTGAGTCTTGGTATCAAACTCACACACAGGGATAAGGAAGAGCGGGCAGGGAGGAGGGGGGCAGTGAACCAGAGACGTTTCTATTTTCTGCCAGCTCCATGCTTATAAATAGCACCCTATTAAAGTGGTTTCTCTACCTCCCATAAGGAAGCCACGGAGATATCATCCCTTAATGATACAGCCCTGGGAACATGGACATCAATGCCAAATGAGCAAGTGATATAGAACTCCTGCTGCTCTGTGAAGCTGAGATCATGTTGTATAAACACTACAGAACTTCTGTCATCCATCTTGGGCTGAGCAGAACCATATTTGCCCAGCACTCTGAGTAATGGCCAGGAGTAGATGGATTAGGGCTCTTAAATTCCTGGTTGGAAGACATTAAAAGTTTAAGAGCCCTATATAGCTGAGTCAAATGCATGTACCCATGCTGTATGATTAGCAGGCACAACAACAATAAAGATATAATTGAAAGGGAAGACCGGCAGGGCAAGAATGTGGACCGGCACCCTCCTCCCGGGTGTAGCCCCTTCTCCCCTGGTCTTCAGCTGCGTGACCGGTAACCTTGCCGGTGCTGGGCTTCAGTGTGGCAAAGGTCTGGATCTTCCATTCCTTCCCTGAGCAATTTCTGTTTCCCTCTGAAGTCAGCTTTCAGGCATAAGTAATTCACTGCTCCTCTACTAAACAGTCATTTCACTTTGTCTAAACAGACTTCATAAATCAGCCTAGTTATTGTTTACGGAGGCCACCAGCAGGATCTCATGTATAAAAAATGAGCATCCATGTTCCTAAGTGGAAGCGAATGGTCACCTTGCCTGTGAGAGATTTCCCAGGAGACCAGGGAAGGCACAGAGGGAGACGCTTGCTCTGGACATCCAGGGAACTTTGCTGTCTGTCACATGGAGTCCTGCTGTCTTGACTACCACGGCTTGAGAAGGATTGTTTGGAGTAGGGGAGGAGGGTCAGTGATGGGGTCAAAAACTCATCCTGTAAAGAAAATCCCAAGGAGTTATGGCCCTAGATAAGAAACGGCGCTTTGGGATAAGCCCTTTAGTGGAGGACACCTGTGTTCTAGCAATTTCTGGCTAATTTGCATTTTCAGGGGACCCTGGAGAAGCAGCTGTTCTTTCTAGCTTCAATTTGCAGTTAGAAAAACTGAGAAGTTCTTCTACCTGCTGGGCACCAGCTGTGCATGAAGGGCATTTTTGGTTCTGTTTGGCACCTCTTGTTCCACTTTTGTTCCAGTCTGGTTTATAGGCTCAGGGCCTCCGTCTTTTCTGCTAAGGAGCTTTCCTTCTTTGAGCTCAGTCTGGGCCTCCCCCTCAGCCCAAAGTACAGGACTCTCCCCTGGGCTATGATGGTGGGTGGAAATCCCCCTGCCCTCCACTTCCTCTCCTGGAGCTCATGTTCCCGGTGTTGATACCACAAGCTCAGAAGGCAAAGCACAATTATCAGCTGTGACATCATCAACACAGATTCTGGGCTGACCTCAACTCTGACCTAAGAGGAGGAAAATTAAAAGGCAAATGCTCTTCCCTTCCAGGCATCTCCTTTGGTGGTGCCAGAATTAAAACTCAAACCAAGGAAGGGCTAAGCCAAGCCATGCTGCTACATACAAACTATCTCCAAAATGAGGCCTTAGGTGTCAGCTGCCCTCCTTGGAAACTGGACTCCTAAGAATGAAGCTGTGTCCTCGCCTCTGACGGCTAAAAGCTTGAACTCTGGAGCCTGCCCAGGCTCAAAGTTCAGCTTTGTCACTTAATATCTGTGTAATCTTGGGTAAATGCCTTAACTGCTGTGTTCCTTGGGTTCCCCATCAGTATAATGAGGATCATACTAGAGAGTACCTACCTAATAGAGTTGCTAAGATTTGAGTTAACGTATAAAGTGCTAAGAATAGTGACTGTCATCATGTTAAGTGCTCACTTTACATTTTAGCTATTTTGATGTTAAACCACATTTAAATTTGACTCCCTTTATCCCTTTTCAACACCCACCTGGCCTCTTCCACGGAATACTTTGTTTACCACCAAAGGCTGTCCCCAAAATGGCCTTCCAATCAGATTGCAAGGATGTCTAGCCATAGTACCATTCTAAATAATTTATGGTTTGCTGACTTCTGAAATTGGAGTCTGGTAGGCAGTTTGCTGTTAAATGTATGTCACACCCTAACCTTACCAGGGAGAAGGTCAAGTGCCTCCCTCCACCCTTTGCACTGAAGCCTTGTCATCCCTCAGAGAAATGCAACTACCCAGTGCGGTTCCTTTCTCAGACTCCAAATCATGCAGCTGCCCATCCCCCACACCTCTTCCCCATAACCAAGTTTACTGGGTCATCATTTCTTTTAGGAAAGCCCATAAGGTTATGCATTTAATACAACACTGAGCACAGACAGTTAAGAACCCACCACTACTTCTCCGCCTTCCAGGAGGAAGCCTGAAGTGCATCCCTCAAGCCTGCAAAGCCCAAGGCAGCTGCACCTGATCCTGGGCTTTCCGCTCCCTTCCTCCCGTCCCACTTATCCAAGGCTCAGGTCTTAAGAGTTGGGACCCTTTGGCTACTGCTATTGGGCTGGAGAGATCCAGGGTCAGAGCCACAGTCCACCTGCTCTGCTGCTGGGGAAAGACCCCTAGAGATCCAGTCAAGCAAGGCAAAGAGCAGCAGGGCAGGCAGCTTCGCGGCAAGGGAGGTGCAGGAATGGCTTGGTCAAGAGCCTCAATCAGTGAACAGCACCCAGACAGTGACAACGCCGAGAGGAACAGGATGTAGTACATCAACCTCAACTTTATCCTCCGAAAGCCAGTCACCCCAAGAACTATCTTTGCCAAGAGCCATTCGATGGACTCCACCCACAGAGCAAACGTTTTCTCCCAGGTCCTGGCACACCCACCAGCTTCAACCTAGGAAATTCACCCCGTGGGTAGCCCAGGGCGGGAATTCTCTGCCATCCGTCCACGGCCGAGGCCCGCACACTTACCATTGGCGTTCTTGCCGCAGATGAGATGTTCATAGGGCTGCAGGACGCCCCAGAGCTCGGCGTCGTTGTTGATGACCATCTCCAGGGCCTCGGCGGACACCTCCCCACCCCCAGCCCCTCCACCATCGGGGCTCTGGCTGGCCAGCACCCTGGCCCGGATCTCCTCCACCAGGTTCTCCATGCAGGCGGTGAGCGAGATGGCCGCGTACTCGTGGATGCGCACGGAGATGCGGGTGTCCACCATCCAACGGAAGAAGCGGCCCACCGAGAAGGTGAGGCCACAGCGCGCCGACTTGCCGCGGCGCAGCCCGTCGCCGGCGCTCATGCTGTACAGGGACAGCGCCTTGACCGCGGCCAGCGCGCAGCTCTCGGCCAGCGCCCAGCTGTGCACCAGGCGCACGGCGCTCTGCACCTCGAAGCGGGTGCACTTGGCGTGCAGCACGCTCAGGCGCTGCGCCTCGCGGGCCACGCGGATGAGCGCCCTGCGGAGCAGCCCTGCCAGGCGCCGCACCGCCTCGGCGGAGAACAGCGGCAGCCGCCGGCCGCCGGCGCCTTTACGAAGCACCCGGGCCACGTCTCCCTCCGTCCAGGGGAACTCCTCCAGCTCCGGGAGGCGCGGGCAGCGCGAGAAGAGGTCGGCCACTTCGGGGTCCTCGGGCAGCACCGTGTTCACCGTGTCCCAGCTGTTGTGGCGGCTGTTCATGGAGCCGGAGTAGCACCACCAGGCCGCCCCGCGGTGCTGCTGCGCCGAGGAGTTGAGCGCCTGCGAGTTGGACTTGGAGGACGAGAGACTGAGGGAACGGCACGAGTCCCCGGCCCCATACCCGGAGTCCAAGGTCAAGTCCTCCAGCGTCTTCAGAGTGGAGCTGTACGTCCCGGCCATGGGGAGCCTGCCGGCGGCGGCCTCGCCGAGCGAGGGGCGCTCACAACTCCATGCTCCCTTCCCCAAGTGGGCAGGAACAGGCTCTAGGCTCTCCGGGGCGCCCTCCTTCCTCTCGGCGGCCACATCGCCCGCCCGGAGGCCGCGGGAAGGTGGGCGAGATTCTCGGCGGCCGGGGCCCCACGCGCCCCGCGTCCGACGCCAAGCTGTCACTGGAACGGCCCCCGCCGCTCCTCCTCGGCGCTCCCCTTTGGCCCACCTCAGCCTCCCGCCAGCAGAGCGTCTGTCCGCAGAGAAGGAATCCCGGGAGAACAGGGCGGCGGCAGAAGGAGGAGGGGGCTCGCGGCGCCGCGCGAGTCCGGGACCAAGCGGCGAGAAAGCGCTCGGCAAACTTCTGCGCGGCGCCGGCGGCCGGCACAGCTGGGTACCCCGCCGCCGCCGGCATGCAAATAACCCGGGGCGGCTCACCAATCATCGGCCGCGACGGGCAGGGGCTGCACCAATGATCTCCTCCAGGGGCGGTCACTATGCAGATTTCATGGGGCTGCGGCTGAAACCCCGCGGCGACGGGGGCGGGGCTGGAGGCCGAGGGTCGGGTGAAGCCGCTGGGTTGAAGGTGGAGGAGGGGGAAGAGAGGCGGTGAGCCACCGGGCGCGCCGGGAAGTGCGAGCCGACACCGGGAAAGGAGGGGTCGGAGCGTTAGGCTCGGGAGCTGACGATTTAAAGTAATATTTAAAGGAAAAGCCACTGTGCCCTAACCCCCTGCCCGCCGTCCAGGCTTTGGGCGTTCGCAGCCTCTTTTCAAGCCCTCTGCAGCCAAGCACCGAGGCTGACTTGTCAAGTGTGGGTCCGGGGGGCGTGGGGGGAACAGCCGACGGGGGGAGGGGGGCACAAACCAGGCACCGCACCTCTCTCCCAGACTTTCTGGCAGGCCCTTCCCGTTTTCTGAGGTGAAACTCCGCTTGCGTTTAGAGGGAGGAGGGACGTCCCTTCTTGCTTCTCCCGGATCCGTCTGGTTTTCTTTACGTTGCTATCCTAGGTTCCAATTGGAGCAGATCTGATGAATAGACGGGCTCCAGGAGGTCTGTGGTCCCCCTCCCTCCCCACCACGGGAAATTACGAAGTTTTCTGAGTATTAACTCTGGGGAGAGGGTCCTAACTTTTTTCAGATTCACAAAACGGCCCGGGTCTTCCCTGTTACATCTGTACAGTCCTGCTGGCTGTCAGGTGCATCCTCTCTGTCCGAGGTGCGCGTGTCCGAGTGTGTGTGTGAAGGTGAGAAATGTACCTAGCACTGGCCTGCGCTCCGAACACCTGGCGGCATGCACCACCTCCTGACGGTGTGCCCATGGGCGAGTCCTGCGCCCCCTTGGGACTCGGTTTCCTCCAGGGTGAAATGAGTGCTGACCTCCAAGCAGCGCCGGGGTAAACACGTCTCAGGGCCTGTGTCCAGAAGCGGTCAGTCAGAGCGCTATTGGTTCCAGCAGATCCACGCCCAGTCCTCTCCATCCGGCTGCTGTCCTGCAACTATGCACACACACGTGCTCGAACGTGCATATGCCCCCCTTTACCGCAAAGTCAAGGAGGAGATTGTGCACGCGTTGCCCCCAAGTTGGCCTCCCGCGCTCCTGAATGGTTCCTTTGTGCTGTATTTTACACAGTTCCAACCTCGGGCCGTGAGTTGGATACGAGCTAGAAATGTCTGGTTTGCCTCTTTCCTTCTGAAATTAATGGCCCTTTCCCTGCGAAACTCCTTTTTCTGTAGCAGTTTGGCTTTTTTCTTTCTGTGGGTCTTTATTGATGCAATATTGCCGCCTCGTGGTCAGAAGTGGGAACGGAGTCAAGTGCGGGAGAAATACGAAAGACGCAAGTTCGCAGAGCTCAAGTTAACAGAAGACACAAGATGGGACTACATCTGGTAGAACTGAGATAAGAAGTCAAAAGTGGGTATTGAGGTTCAACATGTCAAAAATTCGAAAACAAATTGGATGCAATTTAAAACTTATTAGGGGAAATATAATTTTAAAGCAAATGTCGCCCTCTAATGGACATTTAGAGGAAAGAAATTGCTCACAGGCCCGTCGGTTCTTTCTTTTTTCTTTCTTGTTCTCTCTCTCTCATTCTTTTTCTTTCTTTCCTTCCCTCCTTCCTTCCTTCCTTCCCGTCTTTCTTTCTTGTTTTTCTTGTCTTTCTTTCTTTCTTTCATTCATTCTTTCTTGTTGTGCACACCCTTAAGAAGCAGAGAAAATTTCTTAACCGGAAGCTTAAAACAGGGAATTTACTGAACGGAAAAGTTATCTGAGAAAGAGCGGATGCCGTTTATTCTATATTTAAACGACTTGATGACATAGAAGTGTAAAGACAATCAAACATGCCTACAGCCAAATTTCAGAATCTTGTGGATGTTAAACTACTCTGCAAAGATTTGTTCTGCAAAATTTAGCCATGGAAAATTCTACTGGAAAAACAATTGAGTTTCATTAATAAATAAATTACAAGGAGAGAAAGAGATGGTTCAGAACCTTATATACTAAAAAAGACTTAAGACATATCAACTAGTTAGTCATAATGTGTGGAATTTATTTGGAATTTGATTTTTTTAGATTCAATAAACATTTGACATTATGAAACAACCGGAAATCAGGAACATCGCCTAGATCTTTGTTATTATGAAATCACTGTTACTTTTTTGATGTGGTAATGGTAGTGTGGTATGTTTATTAAACATTCCTATCTTTTAGAGATACATAGAGAAATGTGTGTTGTAATTTTTTCATTAAAAAAAGGAAGAAAATTCTTATGGGAAAATCTGGTAAAGGGACTAGAAAGTTATGAAAGATGGTTAAGATTGTAGATCTCTTGTCTTTCATATGTTCACCAAAGTCTTCTATTGCCAACTAGAGAACTGGACATACAGAGTAAACCCGGAGTGTGTCTCTTTGTGTTTTGTGTGATGGGGGGGAGAAAGAAACGGAGCAAGATAGAGATAGAGGACAAGATACATTGAGCCATGTTAGAAATTAACCAACTGATTGATTTCAGTTAGTCATTTGGGAACTTGGCAAGCAGGGTGAAAAACTTTGGATCAAGAAAGAAAAGACATGGCTTCTTATACATACGTGTGTGTGCTTAACTAAGGCAATCTGGTGGTAATGTGCTTAATGTTAGGAATGCAAATTATATTAGAAGAAGAGGAAGTATCATCCCAAACCAGGCCTGGCCCAAACATCATTTTTGGAGAAAAACAACTGTCATGTATCTGGACACATTAAAAAGAACATGATGAAACCACGGCAAACATTGGGAGAATTCCCAGTGGAGTGAGTAATTAAAAATCTGGGATTGCCCATGCAAAAATTATATAAGGGAGGAAGCTTGAAATACAGTTTAGAAACTTTACCTTGGCTGATGTCTCATATTTTGTTATACAGTTTCTTACAAAATCAAAATCAATCTGGAGATTAGGGGACAAAATACCCTGGAATTTATCTTGAAAGCGAAGGGGTTAAAACTAAGTACAGACAGGACTCTCGTATGAGAAAGGTTGCTTATGTCCTTGACTTTAGAGAGTGGCCAAGTTTCTATTTAGTTTGTGGATCATTTTTGGTAAATTCTCTCAATAATATTTATTGAATACCTACTGGGTCTGGACTGTGCTAGACACTACGGAGGTGCGTTAGACAATGTTCCTGCCATTAAAAACAACAACAACGCACAAACACACATGCCCAATATGCAGAGAGACAAGCATATGAGACTAACTATTCTGCAAAATATGCTTTGCAGAACTGCTCAGAAACCACTGACTAAGGGCCACTGCCAGTTCCTTGACTCACCACACAGGTTGCACCTAGAGGAGACATGGCACAAACCCAAGGAAGAAAATACTCTGGAATGCAAGAAGGGTTGGAAAAGGTGCCAATAGTTGTACAAGCACGTGATGGTTAGCGGAGAAGTTTTGTGGCGGAAAATCAAGCAGAACCCTCAGTTGTTGAAAAGGGAACCAATGGTGTGGAAACTGTGAGGTAATCCTTCCATTCCATGCAGCCCATGTTAGCCCAATCCTGACACAGCGTTGTTGTTTCTCTCTCTCTCTCTTTTTTTTCTGGACCTCATGACTAAAGAGATATACAGATCATTTAGAACAAAGAGCCCCCAAAATGACCCAGGGGAAAAGAAATACACTTCTCCCAAGCACGTTCTGCAGAATGGTGTCAGGGGTCGGCTTGTGAAACAAGGATCAGTAGTTACGTTTGGGATTTCTGCATTGTGTTTTTCCCTCTAGTATATTCATGATGGACAGTATTTTATTTCAGACTCTTTCATATTTCCTTGAACCCAGCATATAGCAGGCTTAACTGGGCAAAGAACTCTTCCTGCCCCGGGGCTGCTGCAAAGGAACTGGGACTTTTTATTTAGCTCAAAGCAGAAATGACAGTTACCATGCTTTATGAGTCTGCTCAGGCAGTGGCGGTAAGGCAGGACCCTTGGAAGAAATCCAGATAAATCCCTGAACAGAGCAGAGCAAGGTTCCCCATCTAACCCCTGCATAAAGTTTGAGTTTGCTGATCTGTTAGACACAAACGTGACTCCAAAGGTCGATCTAAACCTAGAGCATTGGTCCACAGGGGAAAAGGAGGTGGTGTGGGTTTGGGCACTGGCACAAGTCAAAAGGTTTACAGAGTAAACAAGATGGGGGGGGGATGTCTCTCCAAGGGGGAAATTCTGCTTATTAGGCAGCTGGTATTATAGATTTGTTAGCTGCTATTAGAGACGAAACCAGCAGCACCTGGCGATTAAGGGCAAGAATTTTAGGGGATGGTCTGGAACTCAAAACTACAGAGCTGAATTCAAACAAGAGGACAGAATACCAAGGAACGACTTCATGGAGGTAATAGTGCCAAATCCCCACATCTGGATGTTCTATGTGCCAGTCAGCAATGCACTGCAGTTGTGCTCTTCTATCCTGTTAAGAGAATATCTAGGGTGAAATATGATATTCAACTCTGCAATTTACTAAACAGTCATCTTGTAAGATGCATCTGGCATTCTTATTGCAAATCTGAAGTCCCAGTCCCCTTTCTCGAAGGTCCTGATTCAGGAAGCCTGGAGTGTGATCCAGGTAAAAGTATTTTCGACAAGCATTCCCAGAATGCTAAGGCATTTGTCTCTTAAACCTCCAAGTGCCTGGGGACTGGTATAAAAATGCATATTCTTGAGCCATACCTGCAGAGTTTCTGATTCAGTAGGCCTGGAGCCTATGAAACATCATTTTTAACCTATGGGTCTCAGGTGATTGGAATGCAGGGAGTCCAGAAAACTTGCTCTTCAAGTTGCAGGGCAGGGAGTTCAGAGGTCTCCAGCAGGTGGCGTTCTTGTTCGTTTTGCTA